CAGTCCCTTAATGTGTGAGTTTGAATTTTCAAGTCAAATTCTTTAAATTATAAAACTACCAAAGTGACCAGTCACTACCAGTGACTGTCAAAATGATCAATTTGGAAATTTTATAATAGTGCACTTTCAGAGACTCGAATGATTTATTAGTGAAATATATAAACAGAAGCTTGCCCTGTTCTGTCATAAAGATTCTTCGTTTCTTTCGCTTCAGTGTCTCCGAGGGAAATTTTATTTTCGCTTTGTTTGCCGCAAAGTTCTATCGTTAATAAGAATAAAATTGCACGAAATACTTTTAACATTTTACATCTAATGTGACATTGTTATCGGGAAGAAAGTCGTGAGAGAAGGAGGTGGGAGGTTCGAACCTACTTGTGAGGTACTCGATCCCATCTCTAGTCACTACCACCGATCGACCGGACCACGACCATCCCTTTCTCGACGCTTAGCAGGCATCGGCCGCGCCGCCGCCGTGTTATCACCGATTTTCACCACTACCAGCTTGCGGCGTGGCCGCGAGGGGCCGTGTACGGTAGCCAGCTACTAATTTCGACTTCATCGGTCGAGATAAGGCCGGAATTTTTGCCACTGGCGAGCAAACCTGAAAGAAAAAGAGAGAGAGAGAGAGATAGAGCAAGAGAGACAGCCGGCGTTAACACGAATCCTGCGGAGAGTCCTTAATTTTTTGATTCGGCTGGAAATCGAGCGAGCCATTTCGATCCCGGTAATTAGTAACCTCTATTTTTGTGTCTTATATCAACGATCGCGGGTCTTAAAGGGCCGGCCAGTTTCTATAAAGCTATTAAGGCAAGTCCTCCACTCTGCGAACGCTCGTAAAAATACATTTTTTATCTGACCAATTTTTTGCCCGAGTTGAGTGTTTTTTTTCTTTTTTTCTTTTGTTCTTTTTTTTTCTTCGTCCAGTAATTAGTCAACTCTGGAGAGTGAGTGAAAGACTGAGTGAGATGTTTTGTACATGTTATCGAAATATCAAATTCGTGATAGGTTCTCTTCAGTGCATATTGGATATTTTTTACGTGTATGTTTTGTCGATTCCAGAATATAGATATTCTACGACACGACAAAAGAAACGACGTATTTTCCTTTTTCTATTCGGCAAATTCCAGAAATCTCTGTCTAGAATTATCTATTTTAAACAAATGAATTAATCTACAAAGTACAAATATTAAAATTAATACGAATGACATTGAATGTTAAATAATATTAAATATAGAAACATTAAAATTGATACGAAATATTATTGCATTTCATCGACACATTATTACAAAAATAGTAAATAACTATTAACGATAGCTAATGATCATTTCCTCGTAGAAGTTACTAAAATTCTAACGATTTGAACGTTGACTAATACAATTCTTGTGAATTAGGTAACGTTAACAAGAAATTCACGCGTCAAAGAAAAAGTCAGAGAGAGTACTCGCAAATCGTTAGCCTTCTCCTCTTTCCTTCTGTTCCGCGACCATTTCGACCAGGCGAAATAGTTCGATAATTGACGTCTTAAGGATTTTTATTCGCGCTGAAGGGGATCGACGATGCGGACTCAGTTTTGTCAAACATTTCGGTCAAACGACAGAGCTGGGTTCTAACTGCGGTACAATTTAAGCGGGCAAAAACTAAATGAGCGTATTAAATTTGATTATTTTATCGGTGACCGAAGCGACTGCCAAGAAAGAGAGAGAGAGAGAAAGAGGCAACCCCTCTAATTGCGGGCATAATTTCCGCTTTTTATTCAGTCCACCTTGAAGCGAGCTGTTCGCGAGCCGCGCGCCCCAATCGCTCGGCTAACTAATTTCGATACCATCGGCGAAGATAAGTCGGGAATTTTTTTGTCAGAGCCGCCTCTGTCGAGACGCGGACCTCTTCATTTTCGCGTCGAACGAAATCTTTCTCTCTCTCTCGAGAATGGACATTCCAGCGGCCAGGGTCATTAGGCGCAAACCGTGGCAGACGCGCTCGTAGATAACGCGAAATTAGCGAGTAACGTTGTTTCTCCGATTACGTCGTTGACCGTCGATGGAAGGCTTGTATCTTGATAGCGATTGGAAAGTATCTTCTCGTCAGGGGACTCGTGGGTTCACTCGTGAGTGACGTTTTCAAGTAGCGGAAAAGGAATTTCTTCTTCGAGCAACCTTCCGATTCTGAATCACACGAGTATCGAAATTTCTTGTCGAGGACTTACGATGCTCAACTGTAGGTATCTAGTAATGAAACGAATACTTTGTGTATTTTTGTACATATTTATAGAATTTTTATCACTGATTGTACAGAAAGTACATTTGCACGGCGCAGTATTTATCGTAGAATTTTTAATATTCTAATGTATCAACAGTGATTTCTTTATGAAAATATACAGCGAAGTATGAAATATAAATGTACCCAAATTCTTGACTAAACTGATCAAGAGCACCATTTTGACTATAATGTCACGGATGGAAATCGCGGTAGAAAATACAGAAAGTAGAATTTTTAATATTCTGATATACCAACAGTAATCTCTTTACGAAAATATACAGCGAAGTATGAAATATAAATGTACCCAAATTCTTGACTAAACTGATCAAGAGCACTTGCACCATTTTGACTATAACGTCATGGATGGAAATCGCGGTAGAAAATCGCAATTTGGAAGGCGGTATCGATTCGGAAGAAACAGCGACCTCCTCTCTGAAATAATAAAACAAGGCGCAAAGATCCGAAAGCGATTTCAGCCAATCGCTAGGCCGACCGAGAGCTGACTTTCTAATCACGGTGGATTCCGTGCACCGGCCCCTAATGTCAGAGCTCGACGAAAGCTTTGCCCCGTGACCTTTGCTCCGAACAGGGACGACGCCGTGACCGTCTCCCAGAACGAAGTGCTGGCAGCCAGCGGCCGCCTCCTGGGACCCAATCCCGATCCAATTTGATGCACAGTAGCTCTTCGCTGTCCCGAGATAGCGAGCGGCGGCCTCGGGGGCAGGGGTAAATGGTAAATAACTGAGCCGTCCCGAACACGGGCGGGAAGAGAGCCTAATTAAACGATGTACAATTTATAACACCAGCCAGAAGGTCTAATGGCTCGCGTTCCTGGAAACTGCCGCTGCCTCGAGCGTAGGACCACACCTAGCCGGGGGCCTACGGCAGCGGAGGGAGATTGTCATCGCGTCCTACAGGAATGACGCCGTGAACCCGCCGCCATACCGCGATGCCATCGCTCGTTCCGCGATCAAAACCCATTCTTTCCTTCTTCTTACATACTCATTCCTTGGATTACTTGGAATTCCGTTCTTTCACTTCTATGCTTGAACTGTGCGTTTGAGGAATCTTTTCTTTTTTTTCGTTCCTTTTTTTTTTCCGTTTCTGTGGATATCTACGCGAGCAATATATGCACGGTATAATTCTTTTCATCGTACAAGTTGAGTTGTCATGCTGGATTCTGTAGCTTCGTATTAATTGTAAGATGTGAATATATTATATGTTTACATATGTATATATACATATAAATTATTAACATATATATATATATATATATACATGCGTATAATTATATGTATATATATTATATGTGTAAGGTGGGTCAAAAGTTTCTTCCAACCTATCTTTTTTAATAGTCAAAATACATAGAAAAGATCAGTTTTATTAATTTTAAATTAAATTTAAGTTCAAAAATTGTTTCCTACAAATTAAAAACTATATGTAATAAAAAAAATTACGGATTTATTTTAGTAGGAAGTGATCTTTGGTCCACCCTGTATATATATATATATATACGTAAAGTGGAATATATATAATAAAATAATAATAAATATATATATATATAATAGAATAATAAGACCAGCATCAATTTGTTTATTTTCTACTGGAAATTTCTGCACAATTTGATAATAGCAATCTCGAAAATTGCGATTCTTGTTGAAACTTCGACAGATTCCTCGCGAATTCCAAAACGTACGTACACTGTTAAAAAAAAAAGCAAATACAGGTAGAATTCAAGACTGAATTTTCGAAAATATCTTAATAATCTTGTCGCTATCACGGCCAGGAAATGTCTCTGAAACGCACCGGAGAGACACCAACAACGAAACGCGTTTACTTCCTGTTGGAAACTCTCCCCTCGGCGGGAACTCGGTAAGAGCGATCTCCGAAGAAGGTTTGGGTTAGGTGGCGCGAGTAAAAGTACGACTATTTAGACGTCCGTTGCCGGAGGGTACGGTTCTCGAAACGTCGGCATACGCTTATCGGAATCCAATTAAGCGCGCGATCGGCCGGTTCTTCCCGTAAACGGTTACACCTGTGAGGCGAGCGAGCGAGCGAGCGTGCGCGCGCGGAAGTGATCGCGCTGCGAAGCAAGAAATAATTAGAGCTTTCGGCCCCGGCCAAAGGGGAAGTCGTCCGAGTGTATAGGAAGTTCCTTAACGACCTCTGTTTTACACGCGCGCGCGTGTGTGTGTGTGCGCGCTGAGAGCGTACAATCGCGACACGATTGCCTCGAGCGACGATAACTCGAAACTGGAATATCCACGCCAGCGATGAAAGTGTGAATCGTACACGTATCCCGACACGTATCGCGCGTTCATTTTCTTGCGTCTTTACGCGATTACCTGCAACGCCATCGAGTTGTCCTTGCCGCTGCTCGTGTTGTCGCTTGTCCGCTTTGGATATTGCGTTTATCTTTCGCTGCTCGGTTTCGCGCGAGTGCCACCGGATCTTTTATCTCTCGGCCAAGCTAATGCTCGTGGTAATGTGATGGTGGACATTTTTGTTTCACCAGCTCGGGAAGGACGGAAGATCCGTATAGACTGAACACGCGTATGAATTATTTATGAGCATATTGCGCATAAAATACTGCGTGATGAAATATTTTTTCAACTTTATCAACACGATATTTCTTCTCGGAAAGGATAGTAACAAATATGTCGATTTTGTACGATTCACGATTGAATTAGCAGTATCGACAAGTTCAAAATTGGGAATTAGTTGTAATTCGTTTTCCTTTTCAGGTTGGAGGAGCACGTACTATAGCTATTGCAACAGACCGCATTGTAGTATTTGCAGTTTATATGGTGAAACTTGTAAGTACTCTACTTCGAATTTTATTCGATCGTAGCTGAAGATCAGCACATGTCTAAAATTAGATACTCTCGAAAAATATCGAAACTAGTAGGGTGAGAAAAATGTTGGAAAATTTATGAGCAAAGTTTAACCACCAGCTAGGCAAACGAGAACATTCGTCTGACTTGATACACGAACCATCTTTATATTAAAACTCATAAAACTAAAATATTTTTCCAAATATGTTAAAATTGTGATTTTTTCGACTTGTACTAACTTTTCATCTGATTTGATTAAAAAATAGTTTTGATCAGAAATATAGGATACCGAGTAGAAGGTGATTCTACGCGAAAAAACGAGTCGAAGTTGTTCACTAGAGTCTTTATTTCTGAGAAAATCGAATTTGAAAATTTATCCAATCGATACAATAAGTGAAAAGATGTAATGAAATTTTTTTCGTTTAAGGAGTTATTTTCAAGAAAATAGGCTTTGAATATATTATGTTAAAAATTGCCTCGGTACACGTGAACTTGACAAATTTTCAAACTCGATTTTCTCGAAAACGAAGTATCTTACAAATTAATTTTTTTTATTTACTTTCGCACGTAGAATAATCTCCTGTTTATTGTTCTCTTCTGTCGCATCTACAATTAGCTAGATTTAAGTATACTTTTAAAATTTTCTAACTTAAGTCTCTCAGAAACGAAAAGACCTTAGTGAAAAAATTTTATTCCTTCTATTCGACTACGTTTTTTCACGTAGAATCGGTCGTACCACTGAGTTTATCAGGAGACATTATATTTTATCCATTTTTTCCACATTTCTCTGCAATTCTGTACTTTGAAACTTTTTTCTCTCTTAAAATTTCGCAGTTCACTAAACGTATATCCGTCATTTAATTATCTACTCAGGTATTCCACCGCCGTCAAGTATTAAAAGTTACTGTCGTTAGAGAAGCGTGCCACAAACGACGAGTGTCACGGTAATTGTCCAATTTGTCCGCGAGAATCCAAACGAATGTCCGTTGCTTGTAAATTGTCGTAATGCGATTGAAATTAGAGTTACGTTCGCGCGATCCGCGAATTGATCTGGTCTCGGCGACTAGAACTCGGCAGATTATCGAAGCCGCGCACCCTTGTCGCATCGCACGACTTAATTCGCGGCTGGATATTCGTTTGCACTGGGGGCAAAAGCGTAGTTGCGCGCGGTTAATCGGCGTGGAAACGGTTGGCTAGCATATCTAATTGGACGGCAACGGACGCGTGTAGTTCACCATCGACAACTCGATTCGCGCCGATAGCTCGGTGTTGCCTGTAACGCGAAATTAACGCCGTCGGAACGCCTCGTTAAAACGTTCCGGAGCGACCAACGATCGCGTGTATCGATTGCGTAAAAGTGGCTCGAGACGTCGTCGTAAAATAAAATAAAAAAAGAAAAAAAAAAAAAGAAAAAAGGAAGGAGACGAATTGTGTAGTTTATGATTGAAAAATGAGACGTTTTTTCTCCCCTGAAACTGAATTTCGCCGACAGCTTGTGACGAGACATCAGATATGAATGGCAAATTTTCAAGTTGAACTGACGATTAATTTCTGAGATACTGGAGGATCAAAGAAAAGTATATTCGACGAGGTGTGTTAATAGTTCAACGTGGTGACGTTTACGTTCAGATCAGGCAATTTAAAAAATTATTTCCGGAATTGTTTCACCGACCATTAAAAAGAAATTGACTTTCACAATTCCCATGTACACGAAGCATGTTGGACGAAGTGTGTTGACTTTTAAGAAAAGAATTATTCTCAGAACTGTTTCGTTGGCTGCTAACAACAAATTTGAACTGTCTGAATTCCCAATAGCAATTGAAATTAATTCTTTCAGTATTGTAAAAGAGAAAAGACGAAGAGAGATAAAGAGATAGATAGATAGAGAGAGAGAGAGAGAGAATGGATCCGGTATTTGGTATTAAATTTAGTTTCGAAATTCGAGGGACCAAATTCGAGGGTCGACATTTTTCATTGCGCTTTTCTCTTGTAAAAGAAAAAAGAAAAACGAGCCAAGAAGGATGGAACCGTCGAATCAGCGAAATGAACGTCTAAGAAGAAGCGTTTTATAAAGCGGGACGAAGGAAAAGTGGCAGGATCGAGAGCACCGCCGTGGGTAATGCGGCATAAAGGAGATAAAGTACGTTTAATATCGTTGAAACAGTTATGGCGGCTGATTAAGTCTGGACATCGAGCTCCTGTGCATTTTGTATACAAATGTTCGTCCCGCTGAAAACGCATGATACCTCGTGCTGGGTTAACGTCCCAGTTTGCTTAATAACGCGTTATCGAGGGAACGAGTTGAAACGAAACCGAGGACCTCAACCTCTCGGTTGAGAGTATACGGCAACTGTCGCCGCGACGATAATCCCAGAGAGAGTACGCGGTAATTACTATGAAACGTTTGAAAATTTGAAACTATAATCGCGATAACGTTCCTCGATCCTCCTCCGACGTGCGGATTTTATTTTTTTTTACATACGTTGGACTTTATTTTTTTTGTTCACTTATTTTTGAATTTCTACGGGATATTTTTATATATTTATATTTATATATTTTTATTTATTTATATTTTATTAAAATAACAATGTTTCTATTAATTTAATATTTATATATTTTTATTTATTAATTTATTAATTATTTACTAATTTATTTATTAATTCATTTTTATTTATTAATTTAATATTTATATATTTTTATTTATTTATATTTTATTAAAATAATAATATTTCTACGGGATATTTTTATATATTTATATTTATATATTTTTATTTATTTATATTTTATTAAAATACAAATTTTAAATAAACGAAACGAAGAGAAAACCGATGAAAGAATTTTAGAAAGTTTACTCGTTCGTAAATTAGAAAGTTACAAGTTACGAGGGAGAAAATTTGGAAACGGATCTAACAATATAGCAGTTTATTTTCCAAGGAACATTGTGCGTTGTGGGAAAATTTCAAAGTTTATCAACGGAATACCTGTCGACACAAAGTTTCTGGACGAAAGGATAAATTCAAAGACACATTGACTAATTTAAATTTAAATGGTTGCAGTCTTCGATACCGTCTGGCCAAGAGCCTTAAGTAGTAACATCGAATCACAAACATCTGTGTTAATTTAATTTAAAACGTTACCAAAAATTTCGCCTCATCCGTCCACTGAATAAAATCCAGTTTGATAACAAAAATCCCGAAACTAATTGCGAGTAATTTAAATCTAAATTGCCACGGCCCCCAACGACACCGGATAAGAGTTAAACTTCATTAACGCGAATCGTAAGCCCGCTCTGACGTCGAAAAATTCCTGGAAGGGACCCGAGTGCTGCTTATCAGCCACTGAAGATGATAAAAGAAAGAAGAGAGAGAGAGAGGAGAAAAAGGATATCGAAGCGGTTTCGAATTCGAAATTCGGGAAATATTCGGTGGGCCGATCACGTTCGGGGGGGCAGAAGCAACGCGGCGGGTATACGCACGAAATCTTGCAAAAACGTCGCCAGAATCCTGGGGCAATTAGTCGATATTTTAATGCGCAAAAAGCCGGGGCCCTCGTTAGATCCTCGCTGCGAAGGACCGAGCGTCCGCCACTTCCCAAAGGGCCATTGATAAAAACGGACTCGGTTACTCGACCGGTGCGGCACCTTGTTAGCGCAAGGATTCTCGGGTTGACAGCTCGCAGCAAAAATAACACGGACGTTAACCCGATTCCGCTCGCAGACAGAGCTTCTGGCTTCGTGAATCGACCGGCTTCGTACTCGAGTCGATTCGAATCGAACCGCTGCAAACTGAAGCCTCTTCATGCCTCTTCTTCGACCGACGTACCGCTCTGACTCTCTCTCCTTTCTCTCTCAGTCGTCCACAATTTCGGTTCAGTTGGCATTATTTTTTAATATATTTTTAATATATATATAATTATTAATAATATATATTTTTAATATATTAATCGATCAATAAAAAAAGTAAACATTATTCTTCGTGCCTTAATTTCATCGATCACGATAATAGCAGATATTTCTGTGATGAAGTATTCTGAGAAAATCGAGTTTGAAATCTTCCATGATTTTATCGATCGTGATAATGGCAGGGTACTTCTATGGTTGATAGAATATCTCGAAAAAATCGAATTTGAAGATTTCAGTAATTCTGGCAGCTGAACGGAAATGAATAATTAACAGGAGATTATTCTGCACTGATTTTCCTCAGGATTTTTCATTGAATTTTATTACTAGACTGCGAACGTTTATGTACTTAAAAATGAAATAGGAAATTTAAAAGATTCGCAGAAAATTTTATCAATCATTCGTGACAGAGGAATGCTCGTTACGAAGATTTAACAAATTCTGTTCTGTATAACTATGTTCAGAGAAATACGAACATCCACGGTTTATTTGTTGCTAATCTCCATTATGAGAACATAGACCGAGATTTTAGTAATCTACAACGATAGTATTTAGAGATCAAAAGCGAATTATCAGTTGCATAAAACTTGAACGTTCGATATTTAAAAATATTTTAGCTCCTCGAACTTTTATATATTTTTGTATTTTTTTCGAACTTTTATATTTTATAATTTCTATTCAGACTTTTTTTTTTTTATTGGCGATACAGAAATGCGTCGCTATTAGCATTATTTTCGTTGCGATTACGTCGCGATTCGCCCCTCGTTCGCGATTGCAGGCATTTTAATCACGACACTTTCCTTCGTTAATGTTCATCCGCAGTGACACTGGAGATATACACGGAGTTAACGAGCCACGCGTTATTCAATCCGTTGATCCGCAGCTTCGCGTACTGGGCATTTTTCTCACCGCTGATGATAATTCCGATTCGATCTACGAGTTTAACGAGGTCGTCGGATTCCATCGTTGAATTTTTTTCGTATGCCTTCACCCGTACTCACCTTCGTTCCCTCCGTCATCGTATGAAATTCTTCGTCACATTTCCCAACTTCCAGAACTCTAATTATCTATACCACGACGAAAA